AGAGGAGAAAGAAAATACTTCAATTTTGCCATTCTGGAAACCACCTGAAAAATCGACTGGACAATATTTCCGGAGTCCAAATAAGAGAATGTGAAAAAAGAAATGAAAAGAAAAAGGTTAAAACCTTCATTTACGCGGAAAATCAAACCTAAAAGTTGTTATGTTAAAATTTACATCAGTGTTGCTAGGATCAGTCCTAGGATACCTATTTGACCCATTAAACGATTTGATGAAAGGCATTTGTCAGTGTAATATACTTAGGCTGAGTTGCACCACCTAACTTTGACCGTAACTAATATAACGATAACCGGTGTTTTTGTATGGAGTTTGACAGATTTTTGACGTTTGTCAAAGTTATACTCAGATGGTGCAACCCAGCCTTAGAAATTCGTTATGACTGATTTTTCCGTATAAAGGTAAAATTGCATCTAACTTTTAATCTACAAATATGGTAGCAATTTATTAATTAACTATTTCGTAAACTTCATTAGGTAGACGACATCGTAAAACGCCCACGCAAAGCCTTGTTGACTCTGTTTAGGTAAAATCCGAAATTATGCGAGATTATTAAGTCCAAGGAAATAGGAACCGAATTTGCACTTCCGCTGACGAAGATCGCGAATGTGATACGATTGTTTTGGGATAGTGATGTGTTTGACCTCAGTGATCCAGCTGTAGGGCCTTTGTAAGCCTTCTTAATGAAGTCATTAAAGTTTTTATTGTATCGTCGAAATATTGCTTCAACGAGAAAAAGCTTGTTTAAGAAATGGGTAAACCAAAGTAGAAATGTTTGTTTTCACCATGAACATATTTTTTTTTAAATAATATTATTATGTACCAATTATGCTTTATTAAAAGCTTATTAAAAGCTAAAGCAACATAATATATTTGGACAATTTAGTGAGAGTAGTGAGCGGATTTTATTTGAAACATCTCTATGACGCTGTAAGAAACTTGATCTGAATCTAAAAAAATATTTTAGCATTTGAACAATTTCTTTCATTTCGGAAGAGTTTATAGATCTTGAATAATGCGTAACAGAAAACAATATTTACTTTTAAATGGAGCCGTGAGCGAAATAATTTTGTTAATTGGTAGAAAACAATTAACTAGGGTAATAAAAAAGATGTTCCTTTAACTATGCCCGCCGGCACACTTCAGTAATGGCAGCTGCTAATCCGTCAACACGTTTTTAACTAACACACGTTTTCGAGATGAGTTATAAATCTACAGCATTAATTTCTCTTCACACAATCTGTGCTATTAGATCTTGGCCCGAGGATCGCTAGTTAGAATGGTTATTAAGTCACGACTGTAATAATTAATGGCCTCCCATCTAGCACGGGTTCTAAAAATTAAAAAATCTATTACACTACAATTTGAGGAAGACTTCCGAAGTACTCCATTTATAGGTATTGTTTACAAATTCACATTGTTTACAGTTTCCGTGGGATCGGTGGAAGAATGGACGTTACCGCTCGCGTGGGGGTGGCCTCGGGTCGACCTATAAAAATGCTTTGACCCGCAAAAAAACCAACACACCCAGTAACGGAGTCAGCAGAAACATGGCAAGCTTTCGATTATTAATGGTCTTTTTTGCGACCATCTCTATAGGATGGAGCTCGGTCGTGGCCGAAGGTTATAATTTTTTATCACTAAGCTATAATCTAGTCGGCCAATCGATAAATTCGCGATGCGATATCGGCACCGTTAGATAATTGGTTGGTAATGGGTCCCTTTTGTCTGTTTTTTGCAGAAACAACAGTGCTGAATGAAGCGGTTAGCGGCTCTGCGCGGGTGAAGCGTCATCACAGGAAGAAGCTTTGCTACAAATACGGGATTTGTGGGGGTGGCGGATACCAGGCCGGCGGTGGACATCAGGGAGGATACCAGGGGGGATACCAAGGAGGTCACCAAGGAGGCTACCCTGTTCCACCGATCAACATTGCAATCAGTCAGTCCCAATCTTCCGCAAACGAGGGAGGTGGCGGCCATGCGAGTGGGTACTACCCCAACAACTACCAATACAATGGGGCCTACCCGAACCAAGGAGGTGTTCCCAACAAAGGGGGCTACGGTGGCTACGGAGGCTACGGGGGCTATGGCGGCTACGGCGGGAACCCAAACCAGGGTGGTCATGGGGCTGGATACTTCGGCAACGGTCAGGGAGCTCACAACAATCAATTCAATGGGAACTATTACGGCCCCGTTGGCGGTGGTGGTCCGGGCGGTTTCCATGGAGGCGGCTACGGATTCCAGAGACCCGGTCCTTATTATGATGAGAGCCATGAAGAGGAGGGCAGCAAGCCGGAGGAGAATCAGCCTGAGGAAAGCCCGAACGGCTACAACGACTACAATCAGGGCCCAGGGTTCAACCAGGGTGGTTACCAAGGGCAGGGACAAGAACACGGTCAACACGATTTCGCTGTAGCGGGAGCTTTTTCTATTGCGGGTCGCAAAAATAGTTGATTAAGTAATGTAGTGAATTATTCTCCCAACGACCAAATATTATTTTATTACAGTATTAACTGTTGCGAAAAACTTGTGTGTAAATAATGCAATACTCTATTTTAGGTTAATACTTATAACATGAAAATTATAGTCAATGTTCATTCAATTTCTTGCAGTGTAAAACAATGTTGTTATGTACTTAATCATTTGTGATATTTAAAATAACTATTTATTTGTAAGAAATCCTCAATAAACTTTGAAAATATGAAATTTTGATTATTTATCCTAAACTAAATTATATTTTAAGTGAAACACGAAAGTCACCGTATTAAGAACTAAACCCAAATAGAAAATACTTTTGATGATTACGATGTAATGCTAATTATAATTTTTATGATGCATTAAATTATTTGTTGATGACATCATGATACATGCAAAATTTTAATCTAGTTTTGATATAATATGTGAAAACCATTTTATTATTTTATTGCTCTAATTCGAGATAACAAGCCGCTTCCTCCATAAAAGTTACAATATTATTGCTATCTTTTAAACAAAATCTTAGCTGGGACTTAGCAATAACAGTATTTCGTTGAGAGCAACGCTAGAGAGTTGGTCCTTTAAAGCCAAATCATATTAGCTAAGTATGTATTTAAGTATTTCATTCATTTTTTTGCTTCTTATCTTAAAATTCCCAACCGCAACTATTTGCGATTTAAATTTTATTGTATTTTTTAACTTAATAACGTCCTCAAAACTATTTAAAAGTATATCGATCTCTATCTTATAACAAGGAATGCGGTTTGCATGGATAAAGTTTGAAGTGTTGAAAAAGCCACCCACAGAGCAAAAAAATAAATTAGATACATTAAAATACCTAAATAATACTTGTCGAAGACTTGAGTTTGTTTTGGAAATGATTGTTTTTAGGGTTCCGTACCTCAAAAGGAAAAAACGGAACCCTTATAGGATCACTTTGTTGTCCGTCTGTCCGTCCGTCTGTCAAGACCCTTTTTCTCAGGAACGCGTGGAGGTATGAAACTGAAATTTATATCAATTACACAGGTCTACTGTCCATTGAAGCTGTGAAAAAATCAAACTTCTAAGCCAACGCAATCAAAAGATACAGCCGTTTATGCCGCAAATTTTCGACACTTGCAAGGGAATCAAAACCTACAGGGTGCTTCCCGTGAACTCAGAATCTTGAAATTTGGTACGAAGCAATGTATTATAGCATAGATAAAGGAAAAATTACGAAAACCATAAATTTTTAGTTACATCACATAATATATATTTTTTTAATAATTTTAAACTTACTACCCATTTCCTCATAAACGCGTAAAGGTATTAAATTGAAATTCATACCAAATACTCAGGTCTATAATACCTTTAAGCTGTAACAAAATCAAACTTCTATGTCAACGCAATCAAAAGAAACAGCAATTTAAGCTGCATATTTTGAAACTCGCAAGTACTCGAAAGGGAATCAAAACCTAAAGGGTACTTCCAGTCGACCTAGAATCTTGAAATTTGGCATGAAGCAACTTTTTATAGCACACATAAAGGAAAAATTCCGAAAACCTTAAATTTTTAGTTACATTACAAAATATATATTTTTTAATAAATATAAACTTATTACTTTTTTCTTTCCATGAACGCGTAGAGCTATCAAGTTGAAATTCATATCAAATACTATAAAATAAAGGATTACTTAAACGATAAAGAGATCTTTGTCTTAAATTTATGCTCCTCCATCTTTCCCCATTGTAATGTTATGAATTTTATTTCATTTTGCAATAAAAATATCATAGTTATGACTCGATTGTCGTAATGAACGAACTTTGTAAACCTTGCAGGTTTGTACGGAACCCTCGGTGCGCGAGTCCGACTCGCACTTGGCCGGTTTTTTATTGTAAAAATTTGAAAAGTAGACAGCACAGCAGACTGTAGTTGCAAATTAGGACCACGTCAAAGATGCAATCTATGTTCAACTGCAATAATGTGCAATAATGTTCAAATGAGCTCTATCTATCGTAATTTTCGACGGGCTATCGAATGGATTTTTAACAATAGCTTTTAAATTGATCATAGGAACACTAGAATAACGGTCTATGTGTCAAATAAAACAAAGAATATGAAACCTACGAGTATCTCTACGAATTGTAATTAGCTGTAATTGGTGGATTTTAGTCATGGAAAGATCCTATATCACGACATCAAATAATGCCAGGTTTTAATGTCCTTCGCGGTTAAAATTCTTTTGTATCCGAATAGGAGCATTTATGGCAGTGATTTGGGCAGAATCTGAAAAATCCATCTCACAAAGTCGCCGCTCGTCAATAAAGTGTCCACTTAGAATATTTATGGTATCAGATCGTTTCGGGCACATCAAATTATTGTACCGTAACATGTGTTATAAATTTTATTTATTAGTGTCAATGGCTCTTTATTAATGTAGGTACAATAATTGTGACCCAGTCTGGCGGGTGGGGGCGATGGATTTGGTATATAAGCTCGGAGAAATGATCCAGTAGTGTCCATAAGCTGCGGCGAAAGGTGTAAGCGTCATCTTCAGAAGCAATTGCAATAACAATGGTTGCTAAGCTCATAGTTCTGGTTGCGGCTTTCGCCCTCACCAACGCCGTACCGATTTGGTTTACGGGTAAGTGCAATAGTAACTAGTTGTATTAAATATACTTACAACTATATTGCTAGATTGTTCTGATAGTAACATTGAACTTAACCGCTGTTTCGTTAAACTGATGCTTCATGAGATTACACACAGTACATTCATCTCTTGAGAAACTGCACGAAACAATAGTGTTATAGAATTGACATCTTGATAATGTAATTTTAGTTAGGTACAACGATCCTTGAATTTTTGTTAAATTATTCAGTACAAGAGTGACATCATTACTTCCTTGAATCAACAAGGGTGTACATTTTCAAGGAAGTAGGAAGTGATTAATTTATTTTGTGGGAATAGTTGATGGTGGGAAAATTATCAGTTGCATCTAAATTGATTCTAAGTTTAACTTTATTTCGAGCTCCATAATGCACCATGTTCTTACTAGTCTTGGATACAGGAAGAAGTTTTATAATTTTGACTTTGTCATAACTCTTCTTTCCTTCAGCAGGTAACGGCTACCTGCCCATGTTCAGGATCGGTCGCGCCCCGAACATGGCGTTCGGCTTCGGCAGCGGGTTCAGCAGCAACATCGGCGGCATTGCGCACTCCACCGGCATCGGCTCGTCCTTCTCCACCGGCGACGCCGAGGCCTACGGCGCCGGCGTCGGCGGCGCCTCTAACGGCGGCGCATACGCACGCGGCGTGGGCGCGGCCCACGCAGCGCCCTACCAGCCCCTCGCCTACCAGCAAGCCTCCGCCTCATCCTTCAACAACCTCGGCCGCACGCCCTACCAATCAGCAGTCTCCTCCGCCCAAAACTTCGGCGGCAACTACGGCTCGGCCATCTCGTCCGCCCAAACACAGAACGGGCCCCAGTACGGATCTGCAGTATCCGCCGCCCAAAACAGTGGCCCCGCGCGGTACCAGTCCGCGATATCTTCCGCGCAGAACGTTCGCGGCCTCGGCTTCGAGTCCTCCATGGCCTCCGCTAACAGCAATAACGGAATGGACTACGGGTCTGCCGTGTCTGCCGCTGAGCACGGCGGTGACTACAACTCTGCTATCTCCTCCGCTCAGTCACGGAACGGTTTGAACAACTATGGAGCCGCGGTGTCGGCCGCGCAGAATGTCGGCGGCTACCACGGCAGCACGGCCCAGGCGGTACAGCAACGAGGGGCCAGCCTCCAGCACAGCGGGGCCAGCAGCATCAACGGGCCCGGCATCCAAGCTGCGCAGTCGCACGCTGTTAACACCGGATACTACTGAACCCACAACCAGTTTTAGTCATTTCCCCTCGAAGATACTGAGACGACTGTAATGCACTTGTCTCAGTGTCTTCTTAAAAGTGTATTTATGAAATGTATTGTTAGGATATTTAGGTTAATAAAACACAAAATAAAATAAATGGTTATTATTCAACTGAGACCCTATTCATTCATATGTAACAATCACTATCACGATTTTACACTTTTAGCTCTATTATCAAAAGTTATTGTCTTGACATTGCCGTAAATGTGACCGTTATCGTTGACCGCTGACACAGTTTTGACCTCACCTTCAGTATTCCCGGCGAAGCTAGGATCGTAGAAGCCTTCTGCTCCTCTGAACCAGTTGTTGAGTAGTCCGGCATTATTGAGGCCGATGCCCTCGTAATTGATAGGGTTGAAGAAGAAAGGCAGGAGGTACGGGTTAAAGGATGATGTGGAGACGAAACTTCTGCCGTCTCCTGCCACTGCACCACCTGGAGTCACAAAGCTGAAACTCCTTCCGAGCACCCCTGGGTTGTCTCCGGTTATTACTGATTCTTGAGAGCTCCCTTCGCTTGGGAAAGCGAATTTAATGTACTTGTTGAAATCAGGGTCTGATGACGAAATAGCCACGACTGCCTCACCAGAGGGTGATGATTCTGGAATAAAGAGTATATAACATTAGTACTTTACTAGCATAATAATAAAAAACTGTAATCTTCTCGATAAGTATCGTTACACAGATAACATTAACCGTTAACAAGAAGTTACTTTAACAAACTCATTTAACAGATCACTATAAAAATCACCAATATAAAACACGATCACTTACCTTTAAAAATAACTGGATTAGCTGTTATCACTGCCAAGATCGGTACGAAAACAAAAGACGATATTAGGCCTTTCATATTGGCTTCAAAACACAATTAGTCTCTATAGATAGTATTGGTAGAGAAATGAGGCTGACTGTTTAATCCGCACGTTTATATAGCGCTATGAGGTCGCCTATAATTTCAGAGGTAGAGAGCAATTGCAGAGTTCACTGAACTGATGTGTATCATTTGTACGTGATTATTAGCAATAGTGCTGATGGATGATTTGCCCCCGAGCTCACGACTGCTCGGACTGCTGAGATTTTGATTCCGTATAAATCGAAAGAGCTTATAAGTGAGTATTGCATTTTGACAAACATCATAATGTTCAAAAACTTCTTTTATCGTATTACACTCTAAAACAATTACATTAATTGTTTTGTCTTGAATAAATTAACATTCTCCAATGAACAAAATCGTTGATATCTTTAATTATATAGAAAAAGAGCTTTACTAAAGCTTTTGTTTCCAACTTCGTTTACTAGATTAAAAACACATTACAAATTCTTCAATCAGGCGATATTTTCACACTCAATTTACAATACTCGTATCACTAGTACTGCAACAAATCACTCAATGTTACAACAGATGGCGCCGTAACCTGTAAAAGTTCAACATTTATATTAAGGCTTGGTATTTCTTCTAAAGTAGGTATTTCGCGCTGTCAAAATCTGCGCGCGCAATTCTTCGCCGAAAACAGCGCGTCAAAGAGCTCCCGCCACAATTTCCAGCTACACAGTATAGAAATACGCAGTTGGTTAGGTTACTTCCTTCCCTTCAAGCGTCACACTCACAACACTTTCTACTAGAAATCATATCCAAGTGATACAAATTAAAACACCTTTCAGACTTTTTGGGAATATATTCTAGAATCGAATAAATATAAANTTCTGAGTGCCTTAATGCCGTCCCCTTTATCTGTTTATTTAGTATTTATTAATTAGTATCTTTTGATGATATGCAAGTTAAACCTAAAATCATGTTTTCCGTAAATAATTTAAATAAGAATGCAATTTACGAGTTTGTTGTTTGATTATTATATATTACTCAATTAAAAATTTAAATTTAAAAAATTNGTAAACGCTCTTAACATGATAAGGATTCCAACAATGAGCACTGCCACAGTTCCAGTGGCTGGACGTGGGAAATAGATTCCACTTTCTCATACACTTCTCTCACCTGGTATATTCTAACCGTAGTCGAGCAGTATTTGGAGCACTGCCGCGGCTCCAGTGTATGGAGGTGGGAAATAGATTCACACGGCTCATACACTTCTCTTACCTGGTATATCCTGGCCGTAGCTAGTGTCATGCCGCACTGAGTATTGCAGTACTTGGAGTACTATCACGGCTTTATTGTCTGGAGGAGGGAAATAGAATCCCTATCTCGTTCACTTCTCTCACCTGGTATATCCTGGCCGTAGCCAGCCTCATGCCGCACTGAATCAAGCAGTACTTGAAGCAGTGCCACGGCTCCATTGTCTGGAGGTGGAAAATAGATTCTCACCACTCGTACACTGCTCTCACCTGGTATATCCTTGCTGTAGCCACACTGAGTAGAACAGTATTTGGAGCACTACCGCGGCTCTATTTTCTGGAGGTGGGAAATAGATTCCCACCACTCGTACACTACTCTCACCTGGTATATCCTGGCCGTAGCCAGCCTCATGCCGCACTGAGTCGAGCAGTACTTGGAGCCGTATTGCGCCGCGCGCGTGCATTGCGGCCCGTAGCACTGCCTCGGCTCAAGTGTTTGGAGGTGGGAAATAGATTCCTCTGGTTCGTAAACTTCTCTCTCGTGGTGTTTCTTCTTGTTTCTGACACTGCTGTAGGAGTGAATAAATTAGTATTTGACATAACCAATCAAATGACATTCTTCTTTTTAAGAGGAGCTCATATTCTAAGCTTTCAAAATGTTACTCTCTCACTATGTATAACAAGGCAAGTTGATGATGTCACTTTTGTTAAATCAATTTATCTATTCCAGAGCAAAAAGTAATTGAGTTTTTAGACTAAAATTATGTACTATATGAGTGGCTAATGTGAAATACCCAATCTTAAATATTTGATTCATAAGTACCTGGACTGCTTAGAAATCTTCTTACTCTTGATGCATGTCCTCATCTTGCATTTGAGCTTTGTCTTGTTGGCTCCGCCATATTTGAACATGTCTTCACAGGCATCACAACTGAAAACAGAATAAAAATAGGTATTCTGCAGATAAAAATTGTGTAATACTAGGTTAGGTCTTAATTTGACCGTTAGTCAAAAAGATCTCAGATTAATTATTAAATGAGACTGGACGTAAGATATCCTATGAATGGTTTTGAAATAGTAAACAATCTCAACTTGAGCCCATTGTTCGTTAGATGTTACATCATCTATTAACAAAATTAAATAAAAATACTGCTCTAATCACATGTTATGTCAACAATGTATACGCACTGTCCACAGTCCGTCGTTTGCAAGCATCCAGGGCAGTCGCCACATCCATCTTTGGTGCTGACTCTTTTAGCAGACTTGTTTTCCGAGTGGTCTTTCTCTTTGCGCTTCTTCTTTCTGTCGTCACGACCTAGAATATGACCTGATATGAGTTTTATTTGATAATAGACTTTACCAAAGCGAGCTATATGCCAAAAGCTTTTATAACAAATCATGAGCCATGAATAGCAAGAAAAACCGCATAATTTGATTTTAAAAGTTGAGCATTTCTAACCAGAATCCGCATCATTCTCTCTCTTTTGCGGTCTGAATCTGGTCTTCAACGTAGGATCTTCCTCACGACAACGGTCACAGAAATAGTTTTTGATGTATTTAGCTTCCCTTTCAGATATATTTATACAGTCACCGTGGTACCACTCCTCGCAAGCATCACAAGCTCTGAAAAATATTTAGCTGATTAACTACAATGGTTATAACAGATTGAACAAAAATATTTCATTCTAAACACTGTAAATACAATTCAAACACAAACAAATAATAAATTCAAATGTTCTGGATGCTGCTTTAGCTGGAATATGCACAAAAAATGAATTTATAACTCAAATAATGGAGAAAATACGTGGAAATAGTTAAAAAAAAACACCAAAACTTACATCATGAACCGCGAGCTATCAGAAGATCGGCATATACAATACGCCTGCCCTGCTTGGTTCAGTAATGTGGTGATCTTAGACTGTCTCTCGGGCAGCTCGAACTGCTTTGCAATGTCTGCTTTCTAAAACATACAGAAATAACTAAGAAATCTAGCAGCAAAAAACCAAGTAATGTGAAACAAAAAATGTAAGACTTACGCTTTGCTTTGATTTTCTGTCCCCCATTTTTAAAACTGAAATTTAACCTAATTATTCTATTCTTGTAACGATATAATAAGATTAATGGATTTTATTTCGTAAATTAAATTCAATTTCGATTTGTTTGTAAAAAAAACCTGTGAAATTTGACAGATCAATCTGTCAGATCTTTCGCAGATTAAACAATGGGGGTGTTTGGCGGAAAATAGCGCTAGCAAGTGAAATGGCGTCCTTTTAGCGGTAAGTACTAACAATGTCAAAAAAAATATGGAAGAACGTCATTTTTGAAGTTTAGCAAACGTGCCCTAGCCGAAAACATCCTAAAGTTTCGGCGGTTGTCATGGCAATCGCCATTTTGCTAACAATTTCGAATAAATGCTATTTTCGGCCAAACGCAGCTGTTCCACAGATAACAATCGCATTTTACGACCACAGATTAATTAAGAAAGCCTTAAGTTAAAAAAAAATACGTTTTAGTATTTTAGATTTCTGAACGTATTAAAAAGTAAAAAGTCAACGGTTGCCATAGTGATTACACTTTGTTTATATTTTAGGTTAGGAATTATCGAACTTACGGATTATTGATAAAACTTCAATAATATAAACTTGTTTTAATTACTAATTTAGAGATATGGAAAATCAAGATACGCCTCAAATAATTACTCATATTGAACATAATCTGGATCATTCTTTATTCGACTGCAAGTGGATACCATGTTCTGCAAAGTTTGTTGTGATAGGGTCCTTGCCGAAAGGCTCAGGGACTATAGAAATATTTGAAATTACTTCTGGAGAAGCGCGGAAAATAAAGGAGATTGAGAGACCCAACGCCTTCAAGTGTGGCACATTTGGCGCCAGCAGTGATGTGGAAAGACGATTGGCTACAGGAGACTTCAAAGGGACCATGGAAATATGGTGATTCTGTTTATCTTCTTTTATCTGAATTTTAAGGACCCAACTTCTGTACCACGACATTATCAGACATAATGTCCATTGTCATGTGGCTTTGTTGTCCATTCTTTAATTTTATTTGTTTTTTATTGTTTTTAGGGATTTAGAAAGGAGCACCCAAGTGTACATAACCAAAGAACATACAGACATAATAAACTCCATAGATGGAATGGGCGGTAACACTGTCAGTTGTGGAGCCCCTGAAATTGTCACCGGAAGCAGAGATGGTAAATTAATAAATTGATAATAAAATTTACTATCATTCATCTTGATACATCATCATTAAGTCATTTATGTACTCTCTTCTGTAAGAGAAAGTTCCTCTCTAATTCACCAAGTGGTAGATTTGGCCCAAACTCGGTTCGGGAGGCCTGATGTTCACATAATCTTGATACAACCACTGAATAACTTCTCAATAGATACTTCATCTTACTTTCAGGGACTGTTAAAATTTGGGATCCTCGTCAAAGAGGAAAACCAGTAGCGAACATGCAACCAGCTCAAGGAGAAACCAAAAGAGACTGTTGGGCTGTAGGCTTCGGCAACTCATTCAATGATTCTGAACGAATAGTCGTCGCTGGCTATGATAATGGAGATTTGAAAATGTTTGACCTTCGCACAATGTCTCTCAGATGGGAGTGTAACCTCAAGAATGGGGTAAGATTTTAATATCTAATAAATATTATTCAGGTTCTAGAGTCAAAATTTCCTTTCAAATTCTCCTGGATACAGATCTGCAGTTGAGTCCTACTATACTAAAACTACTGTATTAAATGTATTGAATACTATAAAATGTATTATAAAGTAGGTAATTATAATTTTTTTTAGGTATGTTTCGCTGAATTCGACCGTAAAGACATTCCAATGAACAAGCTTGTTGCAACTACTTTAGAAGGAAAGTTCCATGTATTTGATGTAAGGACCCAAAACCCAGCTAAAGGTTTTGCTCAGGTAAAAAAAAGATTATTTATTTATTTATTTATAAAATGTATTATGATTAGGAATGATATATGTATACTGGTATACATGAAGATAAGTGGTTCAACTGTTTTGTAACTTATTTCAATTTGCAGGTCATGGATAATACCACCAAAAGTGGGACTATCTGGGTGGCACGACACCTCCCACAGAACCGCGACATCTTTATAACTTGCGCAGGCAATGGACAAGTTACTCTTTGGAAATAGTAAGTTGAATTTCTTAAATAAATACTTATCTTAACTTAAAAAAGTTAGATGTCCTATCATCTTTGAAGATGGCATTATCAAGTTGATATACATAGGTGCTAATTTGCTAGAAAAATGTATATTTCGTTGTGCTGTAATAGCCCAATTGACAACACCAAACACAGTCTGAAATTGTTTTGCAACTTTTTTTTAGTAATTTTTTGTTGATTTTTTCTTTAGAGTTAACCACTACCTAAACTCTTCAAATTATTGACTTATGTATTTGTTATCTTATTCCCGCCGGGGTGTGAAAAAATTAAGTGCAAACATGTCCTCTTAATTATTATTTTTCGTCACATTAAAAATACTGTAGGAAAACATATTCATTTACCAAAACCAACCCTTTCCAGCGAATACCCCGAGCAGCGCTACCGGACCGACGAAAAGGGCACGGCCGTCGGCGTCCCCGGCAAGCTGCGTCGTCTTCAACGCATGGTGGTCAGCACACAGCCCATCAACTCTTTAGAATGGAACCGCGACCACCAGGGTCTCGCCGTGGCTACTGCCTACGACCAGTACGTTAGGGTTTTAGTCACCACCAAGCTTAACTTACAGTGAAGAGAGATGCCTCAAGAACTTTCTACTGCTATGTATGTGTAAAAAAACTTCATCTATTGCTAGATGAATGAGTTGAGACGACTTTAGCGTCGTCAAACACACTGCGCAACCTCTGAAGTACTTTCCAGGAACTCTGACCTGACCAATATGTTAGGGTGCGTCGATACCAAGCTCAACTTACAGTGAGAGTGGAGAGTTACTACGAATTCTCTTGTACAAGTGTAAACAAGCTTCGTTCTACTGCTATTATTGCTACTTCAGTCTCCAGACTAGAGTCTCAAGCTGCGTCGTCTCCAACGCGTGGTGGTCAGCACACAGCCCATCAACTCTTTAGAATGGAACCGCGACCACCAGGGTCTCGCCGTGGCTACTGCCTACGACCAGTACGTTAGGGTTCTGGTCACCACCAAGCTTAACTTACAGTGAAGAGAGATGCCTCAAGAACTTTCTACTGCTATGTATGTGTAAAAAAACTTCATTCTATTGCTAGATGAATGAGTTGAGACGACTTTAGCGTCGTCAAACACACTGCGCAACCGCTGAAGTACCTTCCAGGAACTCTGACCTGACCAATATGTTAGGGTGCGTCGATACCAAGCTCAACTGACAGTGAGAGTGGGGTGTTACTACGCGTACTCTTGGACGCGTAAAAACAGACTTCATTCTTTATTACTATCATTGCTACTTCAGTCTCCAGACTTGAGTTTCAAGCTGCTTCGTGTCCAACGCATGGTGTTCAGCACACAGCCCATCAACTCGCTGGAGTGGAACCGCGACCACCAGGGTCTCGCCGTGGCTACTGCCTACGACCAGTATGTTAGAGTTCTGGTCACCACCAAGCTCAACTTACAGTGAAGAGAGATGCCTCAAGAACTTTCTACTGCTATGTATGTGTAAAAAAACTTCATTCTATTGCTAGATTAATGAGTTGAGACGACTTTAGCGTCGTCAAACACACTGCGCAACCGCTGAAGTACCTTCCAGGAACTCTGACCTGACCAATATGTTAGGGTGCGTCGATACCAAGCTCAACTTACGTGAGAGTGGGGAGTTACTACGCGTACTCTTGGCCATGTAAAAACAGACTTCATTCTTTATTACTATCATTGCTACTTCAGTCTCCAGACTTGAGTCTCAAGCTGCGTCGTCTCCAAGGCATGGTGGTCAGCACACAGCCCATCAACTCTTTAAAATGGAACCGCGACCACCAGGGTCTCGCCGTGGCTACTGCCTACGACCAGTACGTTAGAGTTCTGGTCACCACCAAGCTTAACTTGCAGTGAAGATAAAAGACTCAAGAGGAGTTGTTCCCGCTATTGACGTGTAAAACAAACTTCATTCTATTGCTAGATAAAAAAGAGTTGAGACGACTTTAGCGCATCGTCGTCAAACACAGCGCAAGGCGCTGAAGTACCTCTGTACCAAGAACTCATATCATTACTACTGCATCTGACCAATAGGTAGATACCAAGGATTGGGGTGCGTCGATACCAAGCTCAACTTACAGTAATAGTGCCTACGACCAGTACGTCAGGGTTTTAGTCACCAAGCTCAACTTACAATGAGAATGAGGAGTTACTTTTTCCTATGGCTACATGAGACTGCTTTAGCGAATAGCAGTCAATACACAATACTCAACCGCTGAAGAACCAGAAACTGAGACCATTGCTGCTGCTTACGGCTAGTACATCAGGAATCTGGTCACTAAACTATAGTAGTGATTTAGGCTTTCCTATTGCGTTAAGACCTGAGTGGGTGACCTCAACTTACAGTGAGAGTGAAGAGAATGATAAAATGCTACTTTTTAGTTCAATGCTAATTGAACCTACTTTTTTAGTATTTATTGAGATACATATTTTATTTTTGCAGTAATTAGATACTATTTTTTATGTTTAGGACATACCTAGGTGTATATAAGATTATTATTTTTTAGTTTTAACTGAAGAAAATGTTATTTTAGTGTTTGTTGTTATTTAATTAAAAATGCAATGTACAGTCGCGGAATGAAAAGGTTCGTCACCTTAGTGTCGGTTTTCGCTTGCACTAGGTACTGTAAGAGTCAAACCTGCCAACATAACAGTGCAAGAAAGCAGTGCTGCTAACATTTAAATAAATATGACGTTTGCTAACGAATAAGGTTTTGCTTGTTTATTTTTCTATCCCATCAGTGCAATGCAATGATGACATTGACCAATTGACAATAGTTTTTTTTATTTAATAGAAATAGTAATGGCAGGTTGAACCAACAAGAAGGTTTTAGTTTATCAATCATAATAATCTTCTTGACAAGATAAATCGTCAAACAACTTTGATCTGAATAATTTTGAACTTTACTGACGAACAGTTAAAGATTATTTTTTCTAATTCGAGATTATTCTGTAACATAGTTTCAAAAGGTAATATGTGCTCGCGATTCGTTGAAGGAATCAATTTGAAAACTGACGAACCTTTTCATTCCGTGACTGTACTTACAGGTTTAAAATAAAACATCATGTCAATTTTCTAACTCAAAAGAGCGATTTATTATCCTAGCACTTATCATAAATAAAATTAAGGCTAGAATTCAGTTCTTATTACCACTAATAATGTTAGAACATGTTTTACACTTCTCTCTGGAGTTGGAATTTGCTCGTACAAAACGAAACCCATGTATTCGAATGATACACTCGTCTGTATATCGTTTGCACTATTGTATTTATCGATACTCAAGATCGGAGCTCACAAATATCCAGTTAGATTGATTACACTCATCTCAAGAGGGAAGTGTAAAACTTTTATCGCAAAAGCATCACTACTTTTCAACGTAACTGCTTCGTTCTAATGAAAAATAATGCTAAATATATCGAAACATGTATTTAGTGCAAATAATTTTTACAACACATTTCATTCACACAATGCTACACAAATGTAGACGTCTATACTATAAAATACAGGGTGAATAATGGAATTGTGACAGTCGACGAAATGTTAAAATCTGGTACATAAGATCGATCGCATCTTGTTTGATGCGTACAAATGTTTCAATATCTGTAAAAATTAACCATTTTATTGTCTGAACCTTATAGACACATGGCGTATGAGAGGCGCGATATTTGTATTATACGTAGTGGTTAGTACATGAACGAACCTCTCTAGAATCTACAAATACACACGTACAGTCAGCCTCCAATAGTTCGTGACACCCAAAGTAGGCAAAAAGTTGAAAACACAACTTTATTCGAATGCAACAGACGTGTTGCGAACTTTTTGGCTACTTTGGGCGTCACGAACTAAGCTATTTGACGCTGACTGTTTGTGCCACGCCCCGCGTACGTCACACGACTTTATTATTAACCTTTATTCACCCTGCATGCATAACCTATATCAGCTCACTGTAACGCAATCTTTTGTAACTCATCTACTTTATGTAGCCATGTCGATACATAAACCAATGCTAAAAGGCTGTTAAAATACCTACATTGATATAACCACTTACTATAGACTCTTTAAATAAGCATTTTTTTTACCAAATCTAGTCTAAAACAAGTATAATGCTATGTGCAATTATTTGCATTTAGTAATTCAATTAATAGTTCTCGTTAAGACAACACATGAATAATAAATCGTTACATTTGTCCCGCGATTTGTCGTCTCAAAGGCGTTAACTTTACGTGGTATCACTAACTAGTGAATTCAAATTGTACAAAAACTAAATTTTCATAGGTCGTAAGCTAACGATTGCTACGCCTAATAACTTACATTATTTATACAATATGCCCCCGAGGTTACCGAAATGCCTGTCCGCTACACATTCAACGTTTTTCTTTTAGTTTTTTACATCGTAATGCATGTATTTTTAAAGTTTTTGTAGTATTTAAAACGTTGTATGTGTAGTTAGCGGGCTTATTCTGTCATATTACGAAAAGCTGCTCTGAGATCGACAACTATGAGTCTTATCACATACCGCTACTTGACGCTTAGGTCTACTTAGAAGTTTGTTATCATTTCACTAATCACAGGTTTCTTATTTCAACGATTAATGTAGTCGTTGGCAATTAACATCTAGTCTTTTTCTTTTTATTTAAGTCATTTGTTTTTTTAAAGAGACTGCAAGATGTTAACTGCCACCGACGATCTGTAAAGCCATGGATTCACTAGGGACAAACGTTTCGAGACACGTCGTGTCGCTAGATATGACGAGCGACATCTGGCGACTGTCAATTTTTAAGAGACAATAATTTGCACGTAAGAAGACACCAAGCAAGGTTGCACAACTACAAAATATCTAGCTATACGTGTTTTGCAACATTTGTCCCCTTGTGAACACTTGGCTTAATTGTATACTGAAACTGGATATGAGTCGGAACTTTGTTTTAAAAACTTTAAATATTCAACGTTATAAAACTTCGAACTGATCAAAATCTTAGGACACACAAATTCAAAACAATTCTGTTTGTTTACAAAATACGAGGCAACATTACTTTTTGTGGTAAAAAGTAAAGAGTGAAAAAATTGTAGGCTTAAATTACATGGCATGTTATATCACGCGCGGTGAATTGTCGATTAACATGAGATAATGTTTGTCTGCCTAATTACTGAACAAAGCATCATTAAATATTTCATTTACAATAATAATTACCGTTACGGTAATACAAACTCGCTTTACACATGTGCAAACACTGTCTGCATGTTGTTATATTTTAACATCATTGCCAATCAGAATGGCAATCCATCTTCTAACGTTCCTCGAGCGTTGATCATATTCCTGACATCAGGAATGGTCAGAATGAAAGCATCTTAAACGTTCAAGGAACTTAAATTTTTCTTAGGACACTTCCTGATATTATCGGTACCGTATCATCCCGCTTTCGCACCGCGCAAGTCGGGAAACATTATACGCGCTCAGTATAGAATCTGTACCGATTCGGTTAGGATACGGTAACGTACCGATCAGGAAATTAACTTAGTTTACAATACGCAAAAATCAAAAATGTTTACCATTAATAAAAGTCGCGCTAATCAATGCGCCATACAATACAAACTAAGGCTCCTTACATCAAGCATTCCACACATTCAAGGAAACCCAACATAAATTACTTAAAATTACACATAAACATATTCAATATTCATATTTACAATTCACTTGCACAAATATTTCATTTGTAAATATGTTTAGTCAACGTGAAAAGTTATTTAGCACTCAAAAGTGCATACTTCTATGAATAAAAACGAATTGATATTTAGATTGAGAGTGAAAGATGTTTTAAATATTAGGAAGAAAACATTAAAAAAGGGGAACTTTTCAATCATTATTTAGAGCGTTCATTGATCTGATCTTTAACAGTTACATTAAAATTAGAAATCAACACAGCAATGTACAAAGCTTTAAATATTTTTTCGCATTTCTCCTTTTTTCGTTAACATATTATTTATCTGTCAATCTTCTAGGCCATGGATGTTCGCATTGGCGCGTTTAGATTCTGTAGTTGTTTCTACTACGTCATTTTAATTATAAAAAATCTTTCCAACTCTATTGTAGCAATCGTGAATTTGTTACATAAAACCTAGCGAACTTATCCGTGGCCCAGCACAAATAAATACCTATTCGTTAACTGAATTCGTTAAAATACCTTATTATAAAGATACAGACACCGTAACACATTAACACAAATTCTGCGCGTTACAATACACCTCATAAAAACACATTAATAACATTCCGTTACATTCCATTACGAAGATAGGTGTGGAGGAAAATAATTGTCTATTAATAGCCAAAGTAAAGGCATACAGGTTGAATTAAAGACAGTCGACAAACAATACGACGCGAAAGCAAAATTGTTTTGGAAAACGAGTCATCTAACGGTTAAATGTGAATGTCCTTTTCTCACAGTAGGATGTATTGAAAAAAGACAATGTCATATTCTTCAAACTATTAAACCCACTTCTGACAAACTAGCCATGCCAGGTTTATACCAGAGCCACACATATACAAATTACAAGAGCCACACTAAACTTACGCCCGCATTCACAAACATTACTATGAGGTCTCATAGTGCGCGTGGACACAGGGTCACACACGAAGCAATCACAGAGCTCTATTCGTTCGCTCATTTGATGCTTCACTTAAGCAAGCATCGTTTGTGAATACGGGCGTTAACCTCGGGCCGTAAGCTGGATGCTAAGCTTATATAAAATCAATTCTATTTATTAACATCTGAATAAATAATGTATATCGAGGCCCGAGGCGTCATAACTTATGTCTTTATGGCCCTTTAAAATAGGATAAATAGCGTAGTTACACCGTTTACGTGAAAATAGTCGCTTTTGTTTGCGTTTTCGACATTACCTACAGATTATATTCTTCACAGCAAACTTTTTTACTTTGTCTGTTAGCTAGCAGTGTTTAAGATATAGCCCCGAAAGGTCATAAAGACCGTAACAAAAGTGTATGTCTCACGTTAGTGGTCGGATCGCTGTAGCTTCGTACTGTGTGTCGAGTGTCGGTCGCGCTGCACGCGTGTTGAGATTCGCATCGGACGCCGCCGGGGTGAATGCTTTTGAACGCACTCCAAGTACTGTGCACCTGGAAAACATCAGATGTTATATTTGAGAGTTGGAAAAGGGAGTTAATAAGTTATTACTGTGACGTAATAATTCATTTTATTATAATATTTTCCATTTTTTGATGTTTGAGAATGCGCAAGTTTCTTACAACACACAATGGGGTTAGATTTTGTGACGCGTAATTTATAACAAACTGTCCCTGGGCTAGATTTACGCATCGCGATAACCCGAAAATTGGCGATAATGCAATATTTGTAACCAAGTATTCGCGTATATTTCGATGCTTTTTTGCCTAATCGCAAAAGACTTCGCTGCGCTGTCGGCCCAATGTTATCGCGATGTGTGTGGCCCAGGGGTAAATGACAAAAGCGCGACAAGACGCTACGCAACGATAAAAGACGCTACCCCACGCTACATGACGCTACAAGACGCTACCCCACGCTACATGACGCTACCCCACGCTACAAGGCGCTATCCCACGCTACATGACGCTACAAGACGCTACCCCACGCTACATGACGCTACCCCACGCTACAAGGCGCTATCCCACGCTACAAGACGCTACCCCACGCTACAAGACGCTACCCCACGCTACAAGTATATCTCACTTGCACTCAGTCGAGGTTGTCCTGGAAGATGAGGCACACGTAGCCGGGCGAGCCCTCGAGCGGCGCGGCGCAGAACGGACAGATGGTGTGGGAGACGCTACACTACGCTACATGACGCTACCCCACGCTACAAGACGCTAACCCACGCTACAAGGCGCTACCCCACGCTACAAGTATATCTCACCTGCACTCAGTCGAGGTTGTCCTGGAAGATGAGGCGCACGTAGCCGGGCGAGCCCTCGAGCGGCGCGGCGCAGAACGGACAGATGGCGTGGGAGACGCTACCCCACGCTACATGACGCTACCCCACGCTACAAGGCGCTACCCCGCGCTACAAGTATATCTCACCTGCACTCAGTCGAGGTTGTCCTGGAAGATGAGGCGCACGTAGCCGGGCGAGCCCTCGAGCGGCGCGGCGCAGAACGGGCAGATGGCGTGGGAGACGCTATCCCACGCTACAAGGCGCTACCCCACGCTACAAGGCGCTACCCCACGCTACAAGGCGCTACCCCACGCTACAAGGCGCTATCCCACGCCATAACACGTTACAAAGCGCTATCCCACGCTACATGACGCTACCCCACGCTACATGACGCTACCCCACGCTACAAGACGCTACCCCACGCTACAAGATGCTACCCCAAGCTACAAGACTACCCCACGCTACACGACGCTACCTCATGCTACAAGTATATCCCACCTGCACTCAGTCGAGGTTGTCCTGGAAGATGAGGCGCACGTAGCCGGGCGAGCCCTCGAGCGGCGCGGCGCAGAACGGGCAGATGGCGTGGAAGCAGCTACACTACGCTACATGACGCTACCCCACTCTACAAGACGCTACCCCACGCTACCCCACGCTACAAGGCCCTACCCCACGCTACCCCACGCTACAAGTATATCCCACCTGCACTCAGTCGAGGTTGTCCTGGAAGATGAGGCGCACGTAGCCGGGCGAGCCCTCGAGCGGCGCGGCGCAGAACGGGCAGATGGCGTGGAAGCCGTTGGTGCCGTGCGGGATGTCCACGCCTGCCCAGTACCTGCGGGAATAGACAAGCAAGATTAATATTATGTTCCACAGCAGGGCAGCCTTTGTCTCCTGAAGCACGGAGATGATCATCATCATCATAATTATAGCTATAGGACGTCCACTGCTAAACATAGGCTTCCCGCCATGATTTCCACAATGGCCTGTTGGTAACGACCTGCATCCAGCGCCTTCCTGCTACCTTTATGAGGTCGGTTCACCTTGTGGATGGACGTCCCGACAACGAATTTTAGGTGATTAATGTGGAAGTGCCATAGAACAATAGTTACGTGAGACAATTATGCGTTAAACTCGTGACAATGATTCTATCGACGGAAAGTTACTTTTACGGCAAACGTAGCGTATGTAGATTTCTTGATAACGACGAATTTAAGGCTGGTTTAAAAGGGCTTACGTAAGGGAGATCGTTCTATGTGAGACGTTGAAACGATGATGAATCTGTGTCTACTATTGAAGAACTGAAATACCCTATGCAAGAGAAGTCTGAGTACTAGTACTACTCACTTGACGGTCCGCTCGGAGGCCATGTGTCCGCACGGGTTGAAGGCGTAGGTGGGCGGGCCGGCGTCCACGTAGAAGGCGGGCTCGATGCCCATGCAGACGCGGACCACGGGCCCCGCCGTCATGCACATGGGGCAGCGCCGCGTGCCCGCCTCGCTGCCGTCCGCGCCCCACGAGTGCTCGCCTGGGAACAGAGAAAACAAGTGACCATCAATTAATTCATGACGTATAAGTCGACATAGCTCAACGAGCACTCCTGGCACACAATCAGGCGAAGTTATGAGAAGAAGTGATGACATTTATCAACGATAGCAGCCCGACGCGAAGTACCGTATTTGTGGTGTCAAGCCCCAGAAGGGGGAGAATTGACTATGAGAAGGGACATGGATCAGATAAATTTGTAGGGAGTCAAGCAAAGCGCCCGGGGAAAAGAGCCCAGAGCAAGTATCCGCGCGCTTTCCCGAGATTCGGTTCGTACGCCGTGAGGCAGGAAGAACCATGGGTGGTGGTGGGTTATAGCTCAACGTGATCAGTGTCGAACTGTTAGACAAGGAAACTGGAAGATTGTTTCATCCAAAGCTAAAGGAGACGAAACTAGAAGAGAGATGCGAGTTGTATTTCAGCCAGCTGTCAGTCTACTAATCGTATGACGCTATTGGGTGTGCCTATGCAAGGCGCGAAAAGGCAGTGGGGAACGAGGTGCGTAAGCGCGGTTAATTATCTTCGCTCCGCCAAGCCGCCGAAAAATGAGGCCACGGTACACGACGCATCTCCTCGACTCTGCTCTGACTATCTGTCTCCACTAAAGCTGAACGGAGAGAAACATACCTCGTTTCGTCTTATCACCTCTCCGCCTTGGTTGGCAACCGGGCCTCGCTTTTGAGTCAGTCACTAATATAAGTTGTCACTTGTTACCTTGCACGTGCCCGCAGTTGAGGTCATGGTATGATGGTCTCTTCCAACGTCACAGGATTAATGGGAGAGTTACATGAACTCTTTGGCTACAAGGAGTCTCAGTCTGAGCTGTACCTTGCACATACCAGCTGTTGAGGTAGGGCTTGATATCCTGATGTGCGGTGGACAGCTTCCGCGGAACGTCCAACGTATTAAAGAGGCCTGATGATCCTTTTAAGACGCACAGAGGAAGATACAGAACTCTATTGGCTACAAGGAGCCTCAGTTTGAGCTGTACCTTGCACGTGGCAATTGAGGTAGACGTAGGGCTGGTTGAGGTCCTGGTGCGGTCACTCCGCGGAAAGACTAGCGTATTAAAGAGGCTTAATAATCCATTTAAGACGTACAGAGGAAGAAATGTAACCTTGGCTACAAGGAGACCCTATGAGCAGTTGGACCAAAGTGCTATTGGCTACGAGGAGCCTCAGTGTGAGCTGTACCTTGCACGTGCCCGCAGTTGAGGTAGACGTAGGGCTGGTTGAGGTCCTGTTGCGCGGTGGACAGCTTGCGCGGGATGACCAGCGTGTTGAGGAGTATGGTGGTCTCTTCCAACCTCACAGGAATAATGGGAGTTACATGAACTCTTTGGCTACAAGGAGCCTCAGTATGAGCTGTACCTTGCACGTGCCCGCAGTTGAGGTAGACGTAAGGCTGGTTGAGGTCCTGTTGCGCGGTGGACAGCTTGCGGGGGATGACGAGCGTATTGAGCCCCACGGGGCACTGCGGCCGGCCCGCGTTTAGTTCGTCCACCAACGCCTCAAGGTCGCGTTTTGTCTGGAATTTAAGATTTTAACGTATAGTCGACATCACATCGAAATATAAATTGCGGCCAGGGGTTCTTAAAATGCGCCCTGGTATGAGTAAAGAGGGGCGCCGTGAGTCAATCCTTTACGTCGCGTTGGCGCTTGAAAACCGTTGATTGATACCCTACCCCAGAGCTGTAACGAAATACTAAACTTGTAAGTGCGCCGCGGGATCAAAATGATTGGAAACACCTGCCTTAGGCCTACTTCAGACACGAGGCATTCCGCGCGATTGCTGGGCAGTTCTTGGACAGTTTGCACTGCACGGTTACCGCCTTAATGCCTGCCAATGAGAACCACTCACAAATCTTAAGATACCACAGAGTTTAATTATGTACCTAGCGTAATAAAAAGTAACATTAAATGAGGTTTTGCTCATGTTTAAACTGTAGGCTTTTCCCGTGTTTATGGCAAGCAGTGGGTTTTGCCGTACAGTTATACAGCGTACTCGTCCAAAATCTATATATATAAAAGAAAGTCGTGTTAGTTACTTCGCTTATAACTCAAGAACGGCTGAACCGATTTAGCTGAAAATTGTCAGGGAGGTAGTTTAGAGCCAGGAGAAGGACATAGGATACTTTTTATCCCGTTATTTATTGCCATTAAGGCGGAACAAAGTTCGCCGGGTCAGCTAGTTAAAATATAATTATGACGCGATGTGGTAGTTTTTATCACACATCATCTAAATCCCCAAAATTATTTACCTATATGAGTATAGTAGGTGGGTGGATGTTCATGAGACTATAAAACGTTTTTTAGGAAAAAAATATATATTTACCGGTGAATTTTTGAGTCCCTCCGCACTTCTCCATAGTAGAGTGGCCCCGCACAAGTCGATCATTGTACCATCTCGCAGTACATTTGTCTCTGCTTGGCAAGGCAGACCCTGAAAACGAAAGAAAATAAATAAATAAAATTAAATATCGTTGAAAAAATCTACTTTTATCTACACAGTTTCATTTGAAAATGAATTAAACCCATATACCAAGGACGCACAAACCGCAGCCAGCCTGCTAATAATAAAGAGCTAAATTATTACAATCTGAAACTTTATTCAGTTGTTTTTAATTTCGGCGGCCCGCTTTTTGCTCATAATCTGCCCGAGTGGCTCCTGGTCCCAGTTATAAGTCTGTTCATCCATAAACAATGTAGTACAGGGATGTTATAACCATAGTTTAATAAATAGAAAACACCCAGACAAAACACAAACTCATGCACACAAATGTTTATATTGTGCGGGGATTGAACCCGTGACCTCCATACGTGTTAAGTTTGACGGCGATTTGTCGCAAAATCGCCGTCAAAAAACCATGAATCATGTTTCTACCTAAACGGCGCGTTGAAAATATAATTACTCCGAAAGCGATAAAACAGGAAACATTAAATTAGTCGCGATGACACACAGAATTACAAGTAATCGCGTGAATTTTATGGAGAATCACTATCATGTTAAAAATCACACATTTTTCCCTTTAATTCGGAATTTTGTTTTGCAATAGAGGTACAATCTTACAATGTGCTGAAAAAGTGCCGAAGTTAGCGCTTCGGTAAATTACATCGTCCGAAAAAGTTTCAAATTCGGGGAAGTAGTCGTCATTAGTCATTGGAGTTCACAGACAGTGTCTATCGATTCGCATGACTTACTTTTGTTGCTTACCTAAAGCCCGTATAAAGTAACTAACGTTCTGTAGATATAAATAGGTTTCAAAGAATTAACTGTCTTGCTTCCTTTTAGAACGTTTCAATAGTTTGGAATTGCGAAATATTCTTTCGTGAAGATGGAGTATCTACAAGGGAGCACCTGGATACGGGCAACGCAAGACCGGCCATTTGTCGACGAAATCCTTAAGGTGGTGTGATGGTTAGGTAATCCGTTGGTAAGATGCACGGAGCGGGTGCTCGCTGCGTGCGCTCGCCTACCCGAATATGCATGCTCGCGGCGAGCGCCTGCCCCACAATGCTCGTGTTGAAACCCGTCTCACCCGTCTGCACCACACTACTGATACAGACACGCACCCGCGCAAGTTTTAGCGTAGGCCCTATGTGGCTATTCCCAGCAGTGGATGTCCTTTACCCAGAACGTAGACCAAGTTGTAAACTGTACCTTCTGTTGCGCCGACCGGCTCTCCCTGAGCGAGAACACGGCCCCTCCCACGGAGGTCTCGCGCCACGGCCCGCACGTGGCGCTGCCGCCGCAGAAGTCGCCACGCGGGTGCATGATCAGAACGCCGTTCGTCGTCAGACCGTCGATCTCGTGGTTCTCTGTCCATTTTGTCGCTTTCTCCTGGAAATTGTAGAGGTGAATGATCAGTAAGATTATACATATAAAGTAACTTAAAAATGTTTTATGAATGCGGGGTTCGAATCCGTGTTCCTGGCATCAGAAAAAGAAAAAGGTCGTTGGAGCTTATATTCTTAAATTCTTGGTAGGTATTTGATATTTATGAAACTACTTACGCCAAGAAATATGTTCCTGGATGAGTCGAAGCCTGCTGCATAGATGCGACAGTTGTTGACGTCGTTTCGGTCAGCTATGAAGCGGCACACGAACCGCGATATCGTGCTCTGTGGCACTTTGGTACAGGACACCATTCGTAAATCCTTGACTTCGAGGGAACTTTATGTATCTACTTACGCCAAGAAATATGTTCCTGGAGGAGTCGAAGCCTGCTGCATAGATGCGGCAGTTGTTGACGTCGTTTCGGTCAGCTATGATGCGGCACGCGAACCGCGATATCGTGCTCTGCAGCACTTTGGTGTCCTATTACATTCGTAAATATTGACTTCGAGGGAAGTCCAATGATATTTATGGATCTACTTACGCCAAGAAATATGTTCCTGGAGGAGTCGAAGCCTGCTGCATAAATGCGGCAGTTGTTGACGTCGTTTCGGTCAGCTATGATGCGGCACGCGAACCGCGATATCGTGTACTCTGCAGGAATTTGTGTCCAGTTCCATTCGTAAATCCTTGACTTCGAGGGAAGTCCAATGATATTTATGGATCTACTTACGCCAAGAAATATGTTCCTGGAGGAGTCGAAGCCTGCTGCATAAATGCGGCAGTTGTTGACGTCGTTTCGGTCAGCTATGATGCGGCACGCGAACCACGATATCGTGTGCTCTGCAGCACTTTGATATCCTATACCATTCGTAAATCCTTGCCGTTGATGGAAGTCCATGATCTTTATGAATCTACTTACGCCAAGAAATATGTTCCTGGAGGAGTCGAAGCCTGCTGCATAGATGCGGCAGTTGTTGACGTCGTTTCGGTCAGCTATGAAGCGGCACACGAACCGCGATATCGTGCTCTGCGGCACTTTGGTACAGGATACCATTCGTAAATCCTTGACTTCGAGGGAACTTTATGAATCTACTTACGCCAAGAAATATGTTCCTGGAGGAGTCGAAGCATGCTGCATAGATGCGGCAGTTGTTGACGTCGTTTCGGTCAGCTATGATGCGGCACGCGAACCGCGATATCGTGCTCTGCAGCACTTTGGTGTCCTATTACATTCGTAAATCTTGACTTCGAGGGAAGTCCAATGATATTTATGGATCTACTTACGCCAAGAAATATGTTCCTGGAGGAGTCGAAGCCTGCTGCATAAATGCGGCAGTTGTTGACGTCGTTTCGGTCAGCTATGATGCGGCACGCGAACCGCGATATCGTGCTTTGAAGCACTTTGGTGTCGCCAGTCTTGTCGCCCGCCACCGTGTCCATCACCACGAAGTCGATCGGCGACTCTGACGATCTACCGATCTGGAGACAAAAGGAAAGATTAGTCTTAAGACATATTTTANTTCAAATTATTATCTAAAAGTTAATCCTACTTCCTACTAATATTATAAATGCAAAAGTTTGGATGTCTGGATGTTTGGATGTCTGGATGTTTGTTACTATTTCACGCAAAAACTACTGAACGGATTTTGATGAAACTTTACAGTATTATTGTTTATAACCCAGAATAATATATAGGCTATAATTTATGACGTTCTGTGACAAAAGAAATTACACGCGGGTGAAGCCGCGGGCAAAAGCTAGTAATAAATATTTAGTTTTTGTAAATCTAAACAAGTCAGGAAATCAAAGAGGTAAATACTGATATCATTGTGATTTTATAGAATTTATTATTATAAACCACGGTCGTATAATGCTAAAAAATCAGAGGTAACTTTAAGATTTTTATCCATAGAGCAAAATTTATCTAATCGTGTTTTTAAAAAGTTATCCCATTAGGTACACATGCGTTCTGTAATACAAACCCATCAAAAACAATACTTGTCAAAAAACCAAGTCTCACTACCTACTCAGTTGTTCTACGGTAATAAGTTGTGAGATCCATGTAATACCAAGTCCAGTCCAGGAAATCATTAACGTTTTACATAAATATATTGACTTGGCCATCGCATGAAAACACGTGTAAATTAAATTATTTAGTGCGAAATGAAACGAAATTTTGCATGCCTGTGTAGACATGCAAAATTTCAGCTCAATGGGAAAACGGGAAGTAAATAAATTTTAAGTTGCAAGATTTTACAACGATTTTTCAGCTTGTAGATAGCTTTACAAAGAAAAGATAGATTTATGAAGAAAATAAAAAGTACTGGCTACGATACATTTGTTAGGCCGTGTTGCACCGTCTTACTTTAACATTGACATCAAAATTTTGGATGTCAAAAATCTGTCTAACATAAAACACATGTTATTGTCAGTTAGGGTCAAAGTTAGGTGGTGCATCTCAGCCTTAGTGTATTTTTGCGCAATAAAACACCTATGACTATTATACATTATGTCAATTTCCAAGCAAACCCGGGAGTTTTTGGTAGTTAATTATATGAAAATATATTTCTGATACTAAGTCCTAACCAATGATAGTAGTTACATTTCTGTTGGTTTTACGCCCAGATTCCATAGAAAAGTGCCCATCATCCTTTAATACAAATAAGGATGACGAAAATAATCGATAAGTGATCTCACTTGAATATTTCTTATAGTAGGTATACAAGATGTCGAACAAATGGTTACTTACTTAAAAAGTGCTTCATGAGACCTAGCAAACGGCATCAATAATATGTTTAAGAACGAACTGAATCTATTCAAAAAACCTATATTTCCAGCTTTCATACATTTAATACAGTTACAAACAAACACGAAATCAATGGTTTCTGAGAATTCTGAGTGCCTTAATGCCGTCCCCTTTATCTGTTTATTTAGTATTTATTAATTAGTATCTCTTGATGATATTGTAGCAAGTTAAACCTAAAATCATGTTTTCCGTAAATAATTTAAATAAGAATGCAATTTACGAGTTTGTTGTTTGATTATTATATATTACTCAATTAAAAATTTAAATTTAAAAAATTAACACTTCTAATATGGTAGGTATGGCTGGCGGCATACATTTAGTATGAAATTCGGAAACATTGAATTTTCGCATAGATCCAGTTTATTCTTTGACCTATTTATTGTTATTGTTTTAAAGAGCTCATGAAGCACTTACAGGAACAGTAAACAGTTTCTCGATATCTTGTATAATTAAAAATCAAGTGAAATCACTTATCGTTTCCACCCTGTACCTATACTTTTAAAAATAAACTCATTTTATACGTTCATTTGTATAAGTATCTACAATACAAATACCTAACCAACTTAGTTGACGTTTTATAAAACTATTTGTCTAAGTGTCATCGAGCGACCGCTGGTGGATTTGCCATTTACCTGACCTACCCCTTTATTACTAAACGTTTAATATCAGATGAATAGTTACGCACCAATTTCTTTCATTCAGTCGTCAGTAATTGAACTTTCGGAAAAACATGACGAAGCGTTGTGTGACCATACAGACGCTATTCAACTTTTATTAGTAAGGAAGAGTATATTTTATGTTGGTAGAAACACAATAGCATAGACTAATGTTTTGACACCCTGTTAAAATTTTTATTAGTCATTTATTTTTTCCTGACCAAACAGATACCATAATAATATCTTTTATCTATTCTACCCATATTCTGTAAGTAAAATAATAAAAAGTTTGAAAAGAAAGAAATTACAAGTCCGATTTACCTAAACAAATAAATTAAAAATACTTGCGGATCAAAAGTACTCAATCATACTACAATTTACGAAAAAATCACGCGTGACGCATATACGTCAGTGGGCAGTCAACTGACATAGACCCGGCGTCTACGAGTGCCAAAGCACGACTGATTTATGCCATTTGATGCACCCGATTTTATAGTATTTTCAAATTAATTTTTCATTTGAAGATTGAAGATAGATATTTTTTCTTTTTCACACAATAATAGTACTATGTTTCTTCTTAAGTATAAAGTAGTTTATGTTGCCAAATGACTTTTAGATTATGAGATGTGACCTGTTTTCTTGCAGTAATTTTCTCGAATTTTGACTATCTTAGACATGATAAAAATGCATTTTAATGAATTAAACATCAAAATTTTCTCAATACACTTTCTTCTTCAGGGTATGCTTATTCTAATGAATACATTCTATCTTCTTACTTAGAAATAAATTTGTTGTAATATTAGTTCAAAGTTGTGCCTTCGCGAGTTACCTGGAAATCGGGCTTTCGAAATTCGCTGTTTTCGTAGGCAAAAATCCAATTTGAACGAGATTTTGTCAATAGACATTCCGTAAAAACGTATGACAATTACGATGATATAAGTCAAAAGAAGCTATAACAATAAATTATATGACTAAAATCATTTCGAAATCTGCCAAATTCTCGATTTCTGCATGAAAAATGTGACAACGCTCTTAATATTAACAAAGGAATGACTTGATTGTGTGTATTGAATAGGCACCGAAGCTACAGGACCGATTTGAAATTCTTTCGCCATTAGAAACCTACTTTATTTCTGATGCCCAATATCGCAGAAGGGGAGAAGCGAACAAAAAATCTTCCTGCTTCAAAATAAAATTATGCCTACCACTTTTGGTAAATAACGATGTCTTGGAGCCGGTACCAGTTGGTACCTTTATCCTCAAAAATAACGTGTGATATCATGAGTATTCAATAAACATGGGCAAAATACAGTCTAACAGCTATTTAATTAAATGTATTCTGAGGTATGTGCCTCTACATATTATTATTTCTTATTATCAATGTGTCACTACATAGAGGGGATAGACCTAATTATTATCCAAATACATATTGTTTACAGGACTGATTTCCGGGTTGCCAATTTACAATTACGTCGTATTAGGAAAGCATGTTTACTATTTTTCCTTAACGTAGTACCGATATCTCGGTTATTTTTTTCAGTTTTCCTTAAGCTTCGAAAGTTGTCATTAGTATGCGTGTATTATCAGGTATTTTAAAAGGAGATAAAAACAACAATATTGCTGAAATATTCAATCACCATGTTTATTTTTTACTTTCATATAAACAGCATGCACTTACGCTTTTAATAGCGTATCAACATATCAACTGAATAACGTGTAGGGTAAATCCCAGATACGCATTCAATTAATCTAACAACTTTGTTGTCCAGTGGTTAAAAGCTAGAGTTAGAATCTCACGACCAGGATTCGATGCACAGACGGGTCTTGTACATGTGTAACATCACATTTTGATATTAGTTCCTAATTTGATTAGGTCAACAATACATAAACAAAAAAAGGCAAGGTATTGGTAGTTGACGGAACAAACTCATTTAAAGATTTAATTATTGTGTTCATTAAACATAATTGGCAGCATGCAACAAATGCATGGTTTGATATTCGTAAATGAGTCTTTGATAAACGCAGCAAGTATTTATGATCAATACGGTTTTACCCATAGTATATGCACATAGAAAATACTATATGGTAGAGCCTAGTGGCCTTTGTACAATCAGCCTCCATTCGCTTCGTTTTTGTTATTTAAATGTAAAAAATAAATGTAAAACAAACTGCATACTATTTCCCTGAATGATTCTGTAGAGTTTTTAGTTTGCGCAGCACAACGCTCCCCGTTTCAGCTTCGTAATTCCTAAAAGTTAGAAATAGTAATAGTAGGTTTCTACCCGTCGTAACTACAGAAGTGGTATTTCAAACGAACAGGAATATATCCATAAAATATAATAAAAGAATGAAAACTGTATAGCTAAAAAAAATTTTTAGTAATGGTTTGGGTGCTTGCCAAAGTGACTCAAAAACCCCATTGCTAATGAACACAAGCAATGGGTTTTCATTTGTCAGTTGTGTCAACTGAGTTGACACTGCTTGCAATAATGCAGAGGAGCATGATTCCTTAGCAACCGTCCAGTTAGCAGAGCACAGCGAGCGGCCGCCGGCGAGTGTGAAGGCTGCGTTACGTCAACCGTCACGCCGTGCGCCTGCGCCGCTCTAATTGCCAATGACAGAAAGAGACGAATTGAGGGGTTCATCGAGATTGCAAGTACCGATGCAAAATACCCAGGTGCCTCTACATTTTAACAATGTGAAACAACTGACTGAAGATGCATCAAATCTCCAAACTTTACTGTTACCTCTTCGCTTATCCGTCGCGTCGTACAATAATGACAAATTTATGGCAAATGTGTCCCGGGATTCACCCCACCCATACCCCAGAGCAGTCGTAAATAGTGACCGACCGAATATTCGTTTTCGTTTTCGTTTTCGGCCATTTTCGGCCAAAAAATGGACATTCGGCCATATTTTCGTTTTCGGCCAAAAACCAGCCGAAGCTTCGGTCAAACCGAATATCAGAAATACGTGAATGAGATGGTGACGTTTATCGTTCCGATATCTTCGGGAGT